TTAAAAAATGAAAGCATGCCTTAGAGATAGACTTGGATGATGGATATTCAAATTTTTCCTTGTATACTATGAACTTCAAAAAATTAGTTTATCTAATAGAAAATTTTAACCATTTTTTTTTCTAAAGAGTCTGTGACCTTAAAATGACTTTTTTTCTTAAGCTACCTTTTAGGAATGCAGAATTTTTCTTCAGAGTGAAAATTGCTTCTCAAGCAGTTTAGAACTATTAGTAAAATCTAGTTATAATTCAACTCTTTAATTTTAAAGGGGAGAATCTGGAATATAGCTCTGTCTTTTATAGGCTGCCATCAAGTCTTCAATATTCTGTAATGATTTTTGAGGACAGCTGGTATTGGTATAATTAATTTTTTCTTTTCTTTTCTTTTTCTTTTTTTGTCATGGGGCTTGAATTCTCAGCCTGGTTGCTGTTCCTGAGCTTCACAGCAGCACTTCCAGTTTTCTGGTGGTTTATTGGAGATAAGAGTCTCATAGACTTTCCTCCCAGGCTGGATTTAAGCCACAATCCTCAGATCTCAGCCTTCTGAGTAGCTAGGATTACAGGCATGAACCACTAATGCCTGGTTAATTAATTCTTTTTAAGATGCTATTTGTAAATGACTGTAGAGGCCTTGGACATGAAACAGTTTGTAGTTTTGTTAAGATACAAACTTGAGTCACCAGGACTGACTAGCAAGTACTCAGCAGTAAGTGGTCCAGCTTGATATAAACCTTGATATGTATCAGTATCCTCAAAGTGGTTTTGTTTCTCTTTACTCAGCCTCTAAGAAATTGCAGGATGACGGTCTGAAGAACCATTGATACTCATTTTATCATACTTTGCCTCATTGCAGATATAAAGATGATAGTATGACGCTATTAGAGTATGGGAGTATGGAAGGAATATGCCGCTAATATACATCAAGGTTGAGACAAAGGTTGAGGAAGTCAACTGTCAAAAAAGCCAGCTAATTGTTTTACTGGGAGGCGAACAACTCCGTAGAAAATCAAGAGCAACTCCACAGAAGCTAGCTTTTACGTTTTAGTATTTTTAAGATTCTAGATCATCTCTAAACAATGGTAGAAGCATGACCCTTTGGAAGTGAATCATTTGTTTGGGGAAACAAAAATTATGAGACAGCCAATTAAATATTAAGGTCAAACAGACTTTCAAAACTTAAATTTCCATTTGTTTTAATAAGTGAATTAGACTCAAAACTTGGCTTTTGATCACTTGGTAATAAGTCACTTGGTTGGTACTGTAATGATCTCTACCCTGAAATTCATAAATGCATAAACCAAATACTTTTTATTCTCAATGATTAATAAAATGGCTTACATAAATTCTATTCATTGACAAAATGATTATATACTATAGAAAATAATTTTATTGTTAGCAGACATAATAAACCAGCATAACTCGCTTTCTGAAAATAACTTATGGGTTTTTTTTTTCTATATGATTTTAAAACTTACCTGCATCCACATATATTAAATTCTTACAGCACAACAATACTTACTGTAATATCCTTAAGTCCTTTTAAGTTGGAATTTTTGTTCCATCTTAGAGAGTGGCCTAGTCATCATGTCTCTGAATTCTAATTTTGACAAGAGGCCATTCCCTTGGGCTTCTAAGGAAAGCTGTCAATGATATTTCTCAGTTGGGGACAAGCTGTCTTGTTCATGTTAGAAAGGCACTGTGATTTAAGCTTTGGCTAGTTAAAAATACTCACTATACAATGTCCTTGTAGATTTTAAATTCTTTCTGGCAAATACCAAGTGATGTGTTAACATTCTTGAGAAGGCCTTATATATAGGGTAAATTAATTTAATTTTTTTTTTTTTACCTAAGAGGAGAAGTTGTCCTTTAAAGCAATGGCAATAGATTTCTTTTTAGCAATGAAGGAGAGGAGGCATCACTACCATAAAGCAAAACAAATAATAGCAACAAAAATAAATCTTTTTCTATGCTTACATTGTTTGTCCTTCAAGGCATAGCAACTTTGAAAGATACATGAAAAAAATCATGAAAGAGTTATGACTTTGTGCAGTACATTATACCAGAGTAATGTATTTTTACAAATCTGGGTGTGCTGTTGTCTTCAAAATGAATGCTTGACTTCCTTAAAATAGAAATTGAACCAAACTTTAAATCTGCTAGATTCAACCAAGGCCTACACTATATCTGCATGACTTAGTAGAAGCCAACTAACCATCTTTAGTTTTTCTAAAAATGAATAGAATGCTTCACCAGTAACATCTAGAAACATCTCCAGAGAAAGGCCTTTTCCCCCACAGAGCCAAACCTGCAAGGGAACCATGTGATCTTTTAGCAGAGCAGACTTAGAGTCTCTTTTTTTTACCTTTTTGAGGTCCCGAAATTTCTTCCCTTGGATGAATGGGAAGTTTGACCTTGAAAGCTCAATATAGACTAATAGAACAGTCAAGCTTGTGATGTGATTCATAATTATGATAGATGATGCTGTGGGTCTGGGAGGAGTACTGGTGTATTATTCAGGGTTGTAATCCTGAACAATACTAAACTATACTGTTGAGTGTTCCCTAGAGTGGACCCGAATCCCAACGTTGCCAGCCTTTTTTTAACACAGATAATTTGCCTTTTATTTTTCTACTCCTTCGGGCATATCACCAGGATACTTAATGCTTTTGAGCATTTGGTCCTTGGGGTACTGGGAAATAGGGACTCATATTTACACAATATAAATGTGTTTCTGTTCCAGTGTGAATTCCTTTTCATAAATGAATACGCAGTAGGTTAAGGAGGCCTTTGGTGCTCCCAATTCTGGTTCTTATACCCACTATCTTGAAAGAACAGATGCACAGTGAAGTTACCTCCAATTCCTTTTAGGTTAGTATTTTAAACAAGAAGATCGATTTTAGCAAAGTTCAGTCAAGATGTGGTTCCAAGGATAACATCAAACATTCTGCTGGGGGAGGAAATGTAAGTAGACAGCTTCTGTCCTGATTGCGTTGGAGCCACCTGCATAGCTGGCACCTTGTCTCTTCCTCTGCCTTTCTCCCAGCACACTCCTGCCTCTCACTGCTGCTCCATGTCACTTGGTGTGGTAGCTCTCAGCCTTGCATTCTTGTCATGGGCTTCCCATCCTTTCCTTTAAGATTATCAGCAAAGTTCCCACTTTCATGTGGGAAAGAAAACCTCGTTGGAAAGCATCAGTCCTTTACTAAGGATGGCAAACCCATTTCTCTTGCCAACTTTGTCTGCTGTCCTTTTTGTCTTCAAGGTATTCCTTGTGCTCGCTCTTATCTCCCCTAAGTAGTTTGCTGGGCTCACTTTTCTAGCTCCATTTAAATTACCCTAGAGGCAAAGGTTCTGATACTTGAAAATGCACAAAGTGTGTAATGCCAGTCTTCAGTGGTTCATTATTCATGAAAGTTGGGGTATCGTTTAGAATAATGCAAAATGAGTGAAGTGGAGCTCATCTATAATTTAAAGTAAAATGTTTAAAGTCCTAGTTTACATTTTGTCTTGACGGGCTTATTCCTGTGTCTTCCATGTAGTGAAAATAATATCCTCTGAGTGGAAGTGAATGGTGAGTCCATACCTCTCCTGCCTCCACCATGCTGGAAGAGAAGTTAAAGTAGTCAACAAACTCATGCTGAAGAAAGCATGCTTCTTCCTAAAATGATTCTTTAAGGGTCAAATGTGTGACGGTTCTACAGACCCTCTCATCAAAAGTTTATGTTCAGATGCTCTGTGCCTCAAGTAACTTATCAGGCTTCTTACCCTTTAACTTACAGAGCCATCAATAGTTCAACATGTCTTGGCTATTTGTTCCTCAGCAGGGCAGAAATGGAGTTAATCCCTGAGGAAAATGAGATAAGCAAGCACCTTCTACAGGGGCTGTCAGATGATAAAGCAGCTTCACTGAGCATAAAAATGTCTTTGTGGTGGGAAATCCATTCTAGTGTTTGGGGGACTCCGTTAAGATTCTGGGTTAGGCCTCAGGGTCAGTATTCATTCACATGATTGCTTTGCTCAGGATGCCCTGAGTGTAAGAGCACAGCACAAAAGCAGCCCCAGTCCAGGTAATTCCCTCGAAGGCATCAGAGCATGGCTTGTGCTATCCTGTGCTGCAGATGTTATTGATCACAGTGCAAAGGATAAGTTGGAATTAAAAAGTATCTTGAAATTAATAGGACACTTCCAACCTTGAAAACAATCATTTCAAACTTTCTTCTAATAAAAATTGTTCATTTAAATACAGTAACTGGGGGCCCTCGGGGTCTGAGGAGTTCATGTGTATACCACAGGTAGAGAGCAGGTGAGCCACGCTGTAAAAGGATGGCTTCAAATACTGGGACAGAAAACATTTTCAATAGAATGTAAAAATGAAGCAAAATGCTCTCACTTTATAAGTTGGTGTGCAAGAAAAAAAATCCATTTAGCCAAGAAAGGACAAGTTAATCTTTTTGGAAAGCACATTTCGAACTTTCTTCTTCTGTCTGAAGGCAATGTTGATCATCTTGTAACTAGAGCAGTGTCAGCCACTTCTATGTAAAACTCACTTTGTAAAGGATAATCCACTACTTCTCTTGGCTCTTTGCTTATAGAAAGATTTACCTTGGTGTGCCTTGGTTCTCTGAGTAGAAGCTTGCCTTATTAATATAAATGTTCCTGTACTCTTGTGGTCTGACTTGCTTTCTACTAATAAAATCTTCTATTCCAGGATTTTCAATTACTTGGGTTCCTTCTGATACAATGGAAAGAGAATTTGGGCAATTAGGCTTGTGGGGTGTGTGTGTGTGTGTGTGTGTGTGTGTGTGTGTGTGTGTGTGTGTGTGCATGTATGTGTGCATGTATGTGTGCATGTGTGTGTGTACACATGAACATGAGTGCTTCAGTTAGGATTTCTGAATATATCATTGTGTGTTGTTAGTGTGGATGTGTTTCTAGATTTTGATGTGATCTGAGTGTTTTCCTTGTCTAAAACATTTTAAGAGTTTCTATGTGGTTTTTGCAGGTACAAATTGTTACCAAGAAGATAGATTTAAGCCATGTGACATCCAAATGTGGTTCTCTGAAGAATATCCGTCACAGGCCAGGTAAATTAATACTTTTTGGTAGTAATATTTAATGAATACTTTTTGGTAGAAATATTTCACTGGATTTAGGAAATTAACAAGAAGATTTTGTTGTTTTGTGTTATTATAGAATACCTAACTGAGGAGATGTTTAAAATTCTTGATATTTCGTCTTTTTGTAAATGTAGACTTAAGTTACAGATGTCAAAGCATCTTCATTTGGAACAAAAAATGCAATTTCTGTGAACAGGCTGTATGCGTATGACAGGTTAATAATTAAAATTTATCCAAGTTGCAAGTGTCTCTATTACTCATCATACTTAGTGGAGTTCTTTCCTGTAAAATATGTTTGGTCTTGCACCCATACCAAACATTTACTGAAAGCAATATTTCAAAATATTTTCATTAAATTACTTTTCTATATTATTTAAACTAAGAACTACTAGCTAGGCTCCAGTGGCTCACACCTATAATCCTAGCTACTCAGGAGACTTGAGATCTGAGACTTACTGTTTGAAACAGGCCTGGGCAGGAAAGTCCATAAGATTCTTATCTCCAATTAACTACCAAGAAAAGCTGGAAATATGGCTGTGGCTCAAGTAGTAGAGCACTACCCTTGAATGACAAAGCTCGGGGACAGCGTCCAGATCCTGAGTTCAAGCCCCAGGATTTTGACAAAAACAAACAAACAAAATTGCATTTAGCATAGCTGAGGGCTTCATTTAATGAACTTCTCAGATTCTTTATTCAAGCTATCTTTATCCATAAGCACTGAAAGTCCTCAGCATAAAGGAATACTTTCTCAATTTTTTTCATACATAGATAAAATAGCTGTATCTATCTATATCTCTATAAATCTATATATAGAGACATATGTCTATATATCTGTATCTCTATAGTTTCACTCTCATAAATATGTAATAGATTACATATGTAGCAATATGTATTTTTTATTCTGTAACTGTATATTGAGAACATTTTTATACAATTTATATATCTCATTGAAATATACAATGGCAAAGCCATTTGGTTTTAACCATCTGTTCTTGGTATCTTAAAATATAAATCAATTGATATATTATTTCCATTAATCAGTGCACCAAATGTTGTCAGAAATAAAGTATAAAAATAATTTTGATGAATAAAACCTACAACCAAAAGAAAATTATTAAGCACTTAATGGTTGAAAACAAAGACAGGTGCTTTTACATCTTAAAATAGGCAAGTACATTTGAAATGTTTGGAAGTCTAGATTCATTGTGTCACAGTTTATGAAGCAAGTTAAGGAGTTATAAGTTCCAAAAGCAGAGTCTCAGTTACTGGGTTCAAAACTGATATCACAGAACCAGTTTCTCTGTTATTCCTAGGACAGCTGTACCTTCATGATTCTCCTGTCTAAAAATGAAGTTTACAGTGCTGGGAAGGTGGCTCAATGGTAGAGTGCTTGCCTTGCATGCATGAGGCCCTGGGTTCAATTCCTCAGCACCACATAAGCAGAAAAGGCTGGAAGTGGCACTGTGGCTCAAGTGGTAGAGTGCTAGCCTTGAGCTGAAGAGCTGAGGGATAGCACCCAGGCCCAGAGTTCAGGCCCCACAACCAGGAAAGAAGAAAGAAAGAAAGAGAGAGAGAGAGAGAAAGGAAGGAAGGAAGGAAGGAAGGAAGGAAGGAAGGAAGGAAGGAAGGAAGGAAGGAAGGAAGGAAGGGAGAGAGGGACGAAGGGAGGGAGGGAGGGAAAGAGAAAGAATGAAAGAAAAAAGAGAGAGAAAGAAAGGAAAGAAAGAAAGAGAAAGAAAGAAAGAAAGAAAGAAAGAGGGAGATAAAGAGGGAGAGAAAGAAAATGAAGTCTACAGATACTTAATTGACTTTGTACTGTTTTGTCAACTGCCTGGTGCAAAAAGGCTACATTTTCATTCTAGACAATTAAGCTAGTTAGTCAAACTCACCAAAGGTTTGAATGTAAGCTCTAGAAATATTCTGCATATTATTTGCTGACATGAAAGGCTATTGTCAGAGACTCCCATCTCTCTCTCTCTCTCTCTGTCTCTCTGTCTCTCTGTCTCTGTCTCTGTCTCTCTCTCTCTCTCTGTCTCTCTCTCTCTCTCTCTGTCAGTCATGGGGCTTGAAATCTGGGCTTGGGTGCTGTCCCTGCTCAATGTTAGCTCAAGGTCAGTGCTCTACCACTTGAGCCACAGCGCCTCTTCTGATTTTCTAGTGGTTTATTGGCAATAAGAGTCTCACAGACTTTCCTGCCCAGGCTGGCTTTGAACCATGATCTTCCGATCTCAGCCTCTTGAGTAGCTAGGATTACAGTCATGAGCCACTGGTGCCCAGCTACTCCCATCTATTTCTAAATCTACTTCTTTTATCTATTAAACTGAATCAAATGGCTTATTTCATAAAGAAATATCAGCATGCTAATTCCTAACAAAAGCAAGCTCTTCATTAAGTTACTTAAGAATATGCAGTACCAAAAGAAAAATTAAATAAATAAAAAAAATTCAACACTTGGAAGCACAAACTAAAATATCTGCACTTTAGTCTGAAACTTGATAAAGATGATAGTCCTTCATAATTACTGTTCCTGAGGAGGGCAGAGCTCTTCAAAACCAAAGACCTCTGAATTCAAATAGGCCTCTCCAATGGTTATTTAAGAATTTCTTTTGGGAGAGCTTCCTTTGATGAATATATTTAGGGTCAATATTACATTCTTGATTTTATTCTTTTCAAAAGATAATTCAGTGGACATTCAGCAAAATTATCTTGAAACAATACATAGTCAGAAAAGAAAGTGAAGGATTTTTCTATCAGAGGCTGCCAAAAAGACTGCCATTTTGAGGAGATAGGTATCTAGTAGAAAGCTCAACATCATCTTGCCTCTAAGATAATTACATGTTTATAAATCATCATGAGTCATGCAAATTCCATCATAATCAACAAATGAGACCCACAGGCCAAATAAAATATGGGGAGAACACTCCATGAAATAATGCATCTTTGAAGGAAGGGCTGACTGCATATCTTCCCTAAGCATGAGTTCTTCCTAAGAATAAACAGATGTTCTACAAAATGGAATCCAATTAACATCTAATATCAACTCTCCCATAAAGAAACTGGGTATTGACATAAATATCTAGGTATTACATGAGGAAACGCCACAAGGTTAGAGACCAGTGAATACTTAACTACACATTTCTCTGTTTGGGGGCTATATAGACACAAAAGCACCAAAAGTTTGAAACTGAAAGATCTTGTTTCATAGATTCCCCTCAAAGGTTTTCTCAAATTATCAAATTCTGTGGTGAAGTGCAATGCTAGCAGAGGGTCATTATTCACCAGTGACCTTCAGAAGAACATGTACAATTGAAAGAAATTTGTGATGACAGTGAAGCAAGTCTCTTTAGTGCAGATATGCAGAGGAGTGCAACCCAGCTTCTTGCCAGGTCACAGCATCAACCAGATATAAGGGTGTTATAGTTGCAATATGCCACTTCACTGATCATCAGGATGGATTGCCAGGTCACAGCATCAACCAGATATAAGGGTATTATAGTTGCAATATGCCACTTCACTGATCATCAGGATGGACTGGGCTCCTGTGGCTGCATAGGCAGATGCCCCTCCCTCTCTCTTCACTCCATACACATTCCTCCTGAAACAGCACCGCTGGTCCTAAAGGATGACTGTCCGTGGTAGAGGAAAGTCATTCTGCTTCCAGAGTATAACAGTAGCTGCATTTTACTACTAGAAACTGCAAACAAGCCCTCCAGACATCAACACTTAATAGTGGTCTAGGACTGGCTAAGAGACATGAGACACAAGCTATGTATTTAGTATAGAATAATCTACATTCTAACTCTAAGAAAGACATGCACAGATAGGGAAAAACCACACTGAAGGGTGGTGCTGGCACCTTAACAGTCAGCAGATCCTCGAATTTCAAACTAGCTAGCATTCAAAGAAATAGCAAGGTCAAAACTTTGTCTTAGTGTGATCAGATCAAGGTCCATGTCAGATTGGTTTTAAGGCATCTGCAGGAGAATTTCTTAAGATTCTTTCCCTGTCAATCTATATACTAATGAAAATGGACACGTGTATACTTAGTAGATATAAACAACCTCCATGATTAATTTCCTCTGTAACATATATGGTGTTGAGAATTTACCAATGAAAACTACCATTTCTCAGTATTTGTGATCGTTTAGTTTCAGAACCACCACCACCTCACCACAGATACCCCAATCCAAGCATGCCCACATCCCATATATAAATTTATATGGTATTTACGTGTAACTTAGGAATGTCCTCTCATGCATTTTAAACTATCCAAAGATTGCTTAGAATACTTAATAAAAATAAATGCTAACTAAATCATTGTTAGGCCATATTGCTTAGGGAATAATGAAAAAGAAAAAAATGTTTGTACATGCTGAGTACGGCTGTAGTTTTTTTCCCAAATATATTGTATCCAAGGATTCAGAATCTGCAGCTCCAAAAGGCCCACTATGTATGGCCCATTGCTGTGCCGTTCCAGCCTAAAATTTCCATGGAAAAATGACTAGTCACCCTACAGAAGAAGAACGATTATTTTTCGTTCCACTTTAGTGTATTAGAAATAAAAAACTAAATATCTCTCATTTCTAAGGTAGACATGGGCCAAATGAAGGGTATTAGTATCATGAAGCAATCCATATATTGGTTTAAGAAAGATGTCATAGCTTGGGACTGTTGGGGAAAATGATACAGACTGCAGATTCTGGAAGATTCCTATCAGAGGAGTAGTAGAGCAAGTAAGTGTACAGTCTGTCGGCTGTAACAATTTGGGGAGACAGTCATCAGCAACACAAGATTTAATGTCAACCAAACATTTAAAAGCCTTTCTCCTCTCAAAGGTGGTGGACGTGTGAAAATTGAGAGTGTAAAGCTGGATTTCAAAGAAAAGGCCCAAGCTAAAGTCGGTTCACTTGACAATGCTCACCACGTACCTGGCGGTGGGAATGTAAAGGTAAGAAACAACGGCCTGAAAACGCTTTAAATACAATTTTGAAAATACCGTTGACCAAAACGAGCCCCAGCTTGCAGAAATAAACACAGGGAAGAAGGATGTGGCGCTGACGAGAAGGGCATTCATAGCAGCTCTGGGATTCAGGGGAAGAGTTAGGGACTAGTGAAGATGCTGCAGTTAACAAGGATGGATTCTTCTTTGAAACAGATTGACAGCCAGAAGTTGAACTTCCGAGAGCATGCAAAGGCCCGTGTGGATCATGGGGCTGAAATCATCACACAGTCCCCAGGGAGGTCCAGCGTGGCATCACCCCGACGGCTCAGCAACGTCTCTTCTTCCGGAAGCATCAACCTGCTCGAATCTCCTCAGCTGGCCACTTTGGCTGAGGATGTCACCGCTGCACTGGCTAAGCAGGGCTTATGAATACTTCTCATTTAGCACTGGAATACTAGTATTTAGGCATGAGCTCTTGGCAGGAGTGGGCTCTGAGCAGGTATTATATTCATTCTTTACAAACCATAAGATAAATAAATCTCATTCCCCCAACTGTAGTAATTGTTACAATTTTATATTTTAAAAAATAAATAGTATATGCAGAAATTGACCTGATTTCCATTTGCAACAAGAACACACTGGCTTTACATGGGTACAATTGGACAATTATTTTAGCTCTGCTCTGTTTTGCATGGAGTATTATTATTATTTTTTTAATTGCATTTTTACCTTTCACGTGCCTGAAGGCTATCCACTACATTCTGAAAGGCCTTGTTAAAATCAAAGCTGCTCATGTCACAATTCTGTTTCTGGGTGAAAAGATGAAAACTGCCCATTGTAACTTATTACAGTTTCAATTGAATCACACAGTCTGATTGCAGGAAGGGAAGAGCATGTAAGAAATGAGTTTTTTTAAAGTGTTATTTTGTATAAATGGGAAGAAAGATACAACTAAGTTATTAACATTTGGGACCTGGATAATTGTATCAGAGTATGTCAATCCAATAAATTATTTAACTAACTAAAAAGAAAATAGTTGCAAAGCATTTGAGCTGTGGGTGAGGCAGTGCATAGTGCATCTGTTAGGAGGGATGCACTTTCATTAGGATGGACTTATGTCTGATTAGAATGTCTGTTGATTGGCTAGATTTGTGTCCATACCCCTTTTCCATTTGTTTGATACAGTATTATAGATATAAATATATATATATTTCTCTGTGGCCATTTGTGATACTTCCTCATATACTTGAATATTACACTTCTTTATTCACAGTATCTGTGTCTCCTGCACCCTTTGGTGTTGCAATTTTAGGTATGTGAAAGTAGATGTTAGCAGGGTTCTCTCACTATTTAAAAAAATACATTAAAAAAAGACAAAAATGTTTTAGCATGAAGTTACTTTCTGAAACAACTCAACGCTATAACTGTTTTAGTGCCAGATACAAGTCTCTCCCGTGATGCTAGAAAAATATTTTTTCTTTGCTTTCACCAATATGGAAGTTTGTGGGGCCAGTCCAGTTATACATAAAAGGGTTTACAGATTGTTGGTTTAAGATCATGGATTTATCTCATTTGTCATCACAGAATAGTTTGGGTTTTATTCCTAAGTAAATCTTAAGATTAATTACCTTTCTCTGTTTTTTTTTTTCATTTGCTAAAGTTGAAACTAACAGTGGTAATTTGAGATGCATTCTAATTCTTCCAAAAAGTATCTGTTTATTAAATTCTCTAATGGATCATTGGCTTCTTTGACCCAAGTAAAGATCCACTGAATAGAAGACAGGGACGGGGGAGGGGACAGCTAGAGAATCTATTGCTCTAAAACATTTGAGACACAGATATCTAAACCAGATTTTCCCAGGACTCCAACACTACACTCTGTAAAAGAACAGAGTGTGACTTTGCATTACTTATTAGTTCTGACTTTACATACATACAATCTAGAAATCACAAATCAATCACTTCATTCCATCTATAAATCTTTCTTCTTCTAGTTATGAATAAGCAATGACATAGCCAATGGCCTGAATAGGGCAGAGTTAACCAAACTAAATGGACACTTTTTAGTACCTCATCTGTTCTTTTTCTTGCTCAGGGATTGTAGGCTGGACATAGTTAAAAACAAAGAGTCTGCTAGGTCTCTGATATCTGTGAGCCCAATTAACTCCTGAAAACAAATGAGATGATGACTATGAACAACAAGGAAAGAAAGGAATATCTCAGACAAAAAGCCAAGGAATGGAAAGACAGAGACACGGGTGCCATTTTGATGAATAGATAGAGATCACAACCAATGTGACGGCCACAAGGGAAATACTGAGAACAAACCACACATACCATTCTCTCTCAGATAGGAGATATACACAGGCATATGTAAGTCAGTTATTTCTGGGGAATAAAAAAGAACCTAGAAACTGCTGAGTAAGATTATGGATGTATCTGTTTCCTACCTAGTAATTGTGATGAGATTTAGTTTGATTGGTTTGGCAATTTAGACATCATTTTCTCTTGAAATGCACTAGGAAGTAGAAGAATAAGGAATGATATATGGAGACTTAATGATATTCTCATAGGTTTTGATACTCTCAGACAGTAGTTTAAATTCTTTAGGAGGAAAAGAAGAAAAGAATAGATGATTAGAACCAATTTAATCTGTGACAGATTTTTAAAACCTGTTTTCATTTTGTTATAAAAGTCATGAGCCCAGGAGGCTGAAATCTGAGGATCATGGTTCAAAGTCAGCCCAGGCAAGAAAGTCCATGGGACTCTTATCTCCAATAAACCACTAGAAAACCAGAAGTGGCGCTGCAGCTCAAGAGGTAGAGAGCTAGCCTTGAGCTGAATTGCTGAGGGACAGCGCTCAGGCCAAGTAAACACATTTTACACATGAAATTTCAATTTCTTATGAACACATACCCCGAAAAAAATCCATATAAAGCACTAAGCTAATAGATTTGGCTTAAAACAAACATTCATTTCTACTAATAACAAAATTATAACAAATCCATGCCCTTCTTTTGGATGTGAAAATTGCAGTTGTTTATAAAGTTATCAAAAAGAAAGGAACACATGGCTACAAATGTCTTCTTATGGGTCTCTGGGGCTCAGCCTATACTGACCTTCTCTTAAGGTAACGACTCAAATTAAGCTTTTTGGACACCACTTTTGTGGGGACACATACGCTGACCTAAACATGGAATTTTCAAAGTTCCATGTCTAGATCGATGCCAGTTTCTCTCTGGCTTTGGCCTTTGAGAACCTGTTTAAGAATACATAAATAATCCAGAGCTGGGAAGAGTTAAAGGCCGACTTCTCCAGTGAACTCAGTCTCTCTGGGTCCCCTGTAACTGGAAATTGGATACCTTAAAACAATGCAGGGAAGATCCGAGCTCTTGATGAGTTTCAAAGGCCATGTTCATTTAGGAACTAACTCTCTCTGGATTCACCTGCTGAATTCCAGCAGGGTGCTGGGCCTACATCCCACCCATAAGCAAGATAGATGTCTGTGTGGCGCCAGCTAGATATAGAGGTTCCAGTCAATTGAAGAATCTGATTCATGTCAGTATTATCAAAGAAAATAGAGTTGACTGTTGGTAGAGCTGCAATTATGCTTTTTCTCCTGTTTTTCATGTCATAGGAAGGAAAGTAAACTATTCATGGTAGAAGTGACAAAGATAGATTCATGGTTTGAGAAGGCTTTGCCAGGCAATTCCTTCAAAGATAGATGTGCTAAAAGAACAACACCGATTTTGTTTTTGTTTTTGTTTTACACCTAGAATGTTTAGCCCAAGTTTGTAGGTTGAGATCAAGTCCCTCTGCAAGAAAAAGATTGTTTTCTATCTCAAAAAAGTGTCCATCATAAAAGTCCACTTCAACTTTAGCAACAAGAAAAGAAAAATCAACAAAAAAAAGTATACTCTGTATGCTGGGATTCCAAGGTTCCAGTACACCACTACAAATCTGTGGGGTAGGGGGGGTTCTTTCTTCTGATAATTCTAGAGCCTGTTACCATAGGAAGGCATTTATTCAATGGCTGGTTGTAGTTAGCTCATGTTTTTTCAATCAAATTTGCAAATGTATTTGTTGCTGTATAGTGATTGTTTTGCAAAATAAAATTGCTTGTCACCTATCTGCTACTTTCTGGCTTTATTTGTTTTTTTAATTGTTTCTTCATTCTTGGCAAGGAGGAGCGTACTGTATAGAATTGTATTTCTGTGTGAGTTACGTACACACAGAGATATGATTCACTAAAGAAAAGAAGGGTAAGTTATCTCCTCAATACCTATGTATCCCACCCTAGAGTAGGTCATATTATATCAAATTATCTAATTGATAAGGTAATTATTTTGCTTTGTTGTTTCTCAGTGCTGGGAATCTAATTCAGGGCCTGTGTGTTGCTAAGCAAGCACTCTTCTGCTGAGCTACAGAAAATCCCCAGTGGAATTTTCTTTTATCACAACCGAATTAGCAGGATGCTATCTGATACTGTGACAAAAAAACAATTTGATTAAAAATCAAGCTGAATTTATTGGCTTAAGCAATTGAGTAAATGGGCATATCTGCGTCAAGCACCATGATTGGCACAAAAACTCCAACTCACCAATGAAGGATAGCACTAGCCAAACACCTCTGAACTCTGGATCATCTGCCCAATAATACTGACAGCTCAGGCTTGGTTCATATCACCCACTCTAGCCTGGGAGGAGGGGAGAGAAGGCAACATCTTTCACTGAATCTAAATTCTTCATCTTGCTGGAGAGAGAATTCAAGAACAGAGAAGGAGCACTTGGAGCAGATTTTTTTTTCCGGTTGTGGGGCCTGAACTCGGCCTGGGCGCTGTCCCTCAGCTCTTCAGCCTAAGGCTAGTGTTCTACCACCTGAGCCATAGCACTACTTCCAGCCTTTTCTGCTTATGTGGTGCTGAGGAATTGAACACAGGGCCTCGTGCATGCAAGGCAAGCACTCTACCACTGAGCCACCTTCCTAGCCCTAGAGCAGATTTATTAACGCGAAGCAAAGCAAAAGCAAAATGGATATAGGAGAGTGGATATATTCAAGGAGCAGCTGCCTTGGAGAGTTTAAATATTTGCTTTTTGCATTTTTGTCAGGGCATGCAGTCATGCTATGCAGTCATGGCTACTCTTGGGAAAATGGAAAGATTTTCTTTACATTTCTTTCGCTTTTTCTGGGCTATCTGTCATCCCTTCTCCCACACATTAAGCAACGTGAACTAATGGAGGAGCAAGGCTTCCACCAAAGTGAATTCAGGCTGTTACTGCCAGGAGACAGGAATTGATCTGTATAAGGCATAGAAACAAGTGTCTACCTGACTGGCAGATGCTCTTACTAGACATGCACGTTCTCAGGACCCACCCCAGACAAAATGATAACATCCCCCTACATATTTGTGCATTAGTATATGAGAAGTAGCTGTGTGAGATGGCTCATCACTGTAATCTTAGCTTCTTGGGAGGCTCAAATTAGAACAATCTAGTTTGAGAGTAGCCCAAATTAAAAAAGCTCATAAGACCCCATCTCACCCAACAAGAAAGTCAAGAGCTGTGGTGTACATCTACCATCCCACTATACTAGAGTGAATAGGAGGATCATAATCATGCTGACCCAGGCATAAACATAAGACTCTTTTCAAAAACTGACTAACACAAAAAGAATTGGGATATGGCTCAAGTGGTAGAGTGCCTGAATTTAAACTCTAGTGCAACCCCAAGAAAGAAAGAGGGAAGGGAAGAGAGTGAGAAGAGGAAAAGGAAGGAAGGAAGGAAAAAAGGGAGGGAGGGAGGGAGGGAGGAAGGAAGGAAGGAAGGAAGGAAGGAAGGAAGGAAGGAAGGAAGGAAGGAAGGAATTGAGGGAGGGAGGGAGGAAGGGAGGAAGGGGAGGGAGAGAGGAGGAGAGGGAGGAAGGGGAGGAAGGAAGGGGAAGGAGGGAGGGAGGAAGGGAAAAAAAGGAGGGAGGGAAGGAAATGGGGTGTAGGGGCAGGTCGGAAGTGATATCCAGTCCCTGCCAATGTGCTTAAGGAGAAAACACTCCATTGTGTCCCTCTAACCTAAAAAACTATCCCTAAGATTCTTCGAGACAACATCACTACCTCTGACAAGCCATTTAGATAGAGCCATTTAAATATCAAGTGGCAAAAAAGTCATAACTGATAAAAGAAGTATATTGCATCAGTAATATATCAGCTGTTTTTCATACGTCAAGT